CAGCTCACACTGCACTGTGAGGGAGTTTTTAGCCAGTAAACAAATAACTGTATTGGAACACCCTCCCTACTCACCTGATCTGGCCCCCAATGACTGTTTTCTGTATCCGAAGATAAAGGAATTATTGAAAGGAAGACATTTTGATGACATTCAGGACATCAAGGGTAATATGACAACAGCTCTGATAGCCATTCCAGAAAAAGAGTTTCAAAACTGCTTTGAAGGGTGGACTAGGTGGTGGCATCAGTGCATAGCTTTCCAAAAGGAGTACTGCTAAAGGTGACCGTAGTGATAGCAATGAGGTATGTAGCACTTTTTCTAGGATGAGTTCATGAACTTAATTGTCAGACCTCATATATAATTCAGTGATTTTTAATATAGTCACAAATAGGTGCAACCATCAACAAGTCAATTTTTTAGAACATTTTCATCACCTCAAAAAGAAACCCTGTACCCTTTAGATATTGCCCTTCTTCCAACACTCCCCCCAGTTCCCCATCCCTAAGCAACCACTTAATTTGCTTTCTGTCACTATAGACTTGTCTATTCTGGATAGTTCATATAAATGAAATCATGCAATATGTGATCTTTTGTGTCTGGCTTCTTTCACTTAACATGTTTTCAGTGTTCATCTTTGTTGTAACGTGTGTCAGTATTTCATTCTTTTTAATGGCTGAATAATAATATTCCATTGTATGACTATACCACATTTTGTTTATCTATTCATCCATTGATAGACATTTGGGTTGCTTTCACCTTTTGGCTTTTGTGAATAGTGCTGCTATTCATGTACAAGTTTTTGTTTGAACACTTATTTCCAGTTCTTTGGAGTATATATCTGGGAGTGGAATTGCTGGGTCATATGGTAATTCTATGTTTATCTTATCAGAGAAATGCCAAACTGTTTTCCACAATGGCTGCACTATTTTACATTCCCCCTAGCAATGTATGAGGATTCCAATTTCTCCATACCCTTGCCAATACTTGTTATTTACTTCTTAAAAATGATTTTAAAAATTATTATAGACAACCTATGATAATGTGGAGTGGCATCTTATTGTGGTTTTGATCTGTATTTCCCTAGTGACTTATGATATTGAGCATCTTGTCATAGACTTATTGGCCGTTTGTATATATTTAGAGAAATATCTATTCAAGTCCTTTGCCCATCTTTTAATTGGGTTGTTGAACTATAAGTGTTCTTTATGTATTCTGGTTCCTAGACCCTTATCAGTTATGTGATTGCAAATATTTTTCTAATTGGGGGGTTGTCTTTTTACTCCCTTGATCGTGTCCTTTGATACACAAAAGGTTTTAATTTTGATGCAGTCCAATTTATTTTATCTTTTTTATGTTCATGCTTTTGGTGTCATATCTAAAAAGCTATTGCCAAATTCAATGTCATGTGGATTTACCTGTATGTTTCTTCCTAAGAGCTTTATAGTTTTAGCTCTTATATTTAGGGTTTTGATCCATTGTGAGTTGTTTTTTGTATGTAATGTGAGGTAAGAATCAAACTTCATTCTTTTTTATATGGATATCCAGTTGTCCCAGCACCGTTTGTTGATGAGACTATTCTTTCTCCATTGAATGATTTTGGCACGCTTGTCAAAAATCAATTGACCATAGGTATATGGGTTTATTTCTGGACTCTCAATTCTATTCCATTGATATGTTTATCCTTATACCAGTACCACACTGTTTTCATTACTGTAACTTTGTAGTAAGTTTTGAAATCAGGAAGCTTCATATCTTAACCAAGATATGAAATTCCAAAATACCCAATTTAAGAAGTAAGTAGCTATGTCTTTGAGCTACTTGAGGCCTGAATTTCATAAAAACTCTTTAAATTTCAAAGTTCTTATCTCTTCATTTCATAGTCAATATGAGGTGAATTTTAGATCAAGATAGTATACTCTAAAAAGAGTAAAAGTGATTAAGGATATAAAACTCAGGAGAGCAAGGACCTTGTCTGTCTTGTTTACCGGTATCCAGTGCATGGCAGGGAGTAGACACTTAAGAAAATATTTGTGGAATAAAATATGATATTTCATATACTTAGTGATTAAACTTATTTTCAATATATCAGAATTTTGTTTTAAAAATAAGAATTCTTCCATTGAACAAATCTTTTATTCATAGCTGTTATTATTTGTATATTTAAGAAAGGAAATGACCCATGTGACCCCTCCAGTCTCCCTCAAAAAAAAGCATGCTACATGGAAAGTCCTGTAACTCCATCACTTGAAAGACAGTCTAGGAGAGTTGTTAGTATGACTTACAGGCATGGCTCAAGCACCTAAAAATATCGGGACAAAGATATTCCAAGTTGCATTGGAAACCACCCAAATATTCATCAATAGGAAGCTGGTTAAACCTTACAATGAACTATGATGCATCATTATAAATAATTAATTAGGTAAATACATATGTATTGATACTGACATGGAACAATGCCCATGTAGGCAGTGTGAATAATATAATCCCATTTTTATTTTTAAATAGAATAATATGTTATATCTACAGAAAAAAAGGAGTTGGAGGAATATATACTAAATTATTGGATTTCTAGAAGGTTGAGATTTGGAGGGCATGGATCATTTATATTATGTCTTTATGGAGTGTTTGATATTTGAATATCTCTTACATTTGTAATCAGATAAAATAATAAAGTTTGGTTGTTTTGTTTTTTTTTTTAAAGATTTTTATTGGTGAATTGGGGGGATGGGAACAGTGCTGGGGAATTGGGGGAAGGGGAACAGACAAGTTGCTGTCATTTTGTTCTTCAGTCTC